CGGCACCACCAACCCCCGCTCCCAACCCACGAGCACACACCAGCACACACACACCAACAGCACACGCCCCCTGCCCCTCTCACCCTGCTGAACTCCAGCACCCGGGTAAACTTGAAGTAGTCCACCTGCTGCTCGATGTAGGCGGCCATGGAGCGGTCCCGCAGCCCAGCCACCTGCGCCGCAAAGCCCTGCAGCACCGCGGCGCGAGCCAGCGGCAGGCCCTGCGCGACGGGGAGCAAGTCCAGGAGAAGAGGCAGCTTAGGAGCCGCCTGCTGCTGGGAGTGGCAGACCGCATCGCCGCCAGCCAGCCCACACACACCACACCGCTCCCCCGAGCAGCCGCGCGCCCGCCCGGCAGCCCCCACCTGCAGGCCCTGCTGCCAGGCGGCGTAGTTTTCCAGGCGCAGGTGCTGGCCGTGCTTGGGGTCTGCGCCGCCGGCCGCCTCCACCGCCGCCGCCATGGCGCGCAGCCAGGCGTCGTAGCCGCCATCTACAAGCTCCCTGCACACAGAGTGTGTGTGTGTGTGTGTGTGTGTGTGTGTGTGTGTGTGTGTGTGATGTTGGTGGGGCAGGTGAGATGGGGGAAGCAAGCACAGCTGCGTGGATCGCGAGACGGGGAATCGCCAGCCGTCCTGCCGGTGCCGTCTGCTCAGAGAAGAGTGGAGGAAAGCAGGGCAAGGGTCCCAGCATTGCATGCACGCCCGCCAGGGCTGCACAGGCGGGGCCGCACCTGAGCACCGCCCCCGGCCCCGGCGCCTGCTGCTGCTGCCCGGCCGCGGGCTGCTGCGCGGCGGGCGGGGCGACTCCCGCGGGCGCGCCGGCAGCCGCCTGCGCCGCCCCTGGCTCGCCCTCCCCGCTGGCGGCCGTGGTGCGCCGGCTGCGGCTGTCTGCCTCCGAATCTATGAAGCTTATCTCAGAGGCGGCCTCATCCTCTGTGGTACGTGCCGTACTGCTGCTGAGCTCTGAGCTGGCGGAGGCGATGGCGCCGGTGCGCCAGGGTGGCGGCGACGGCGCGTGGCTGCCGCTGCTGCTCTCAAACGGCGAGGGGAACAGCACCGGCGGCGGCGGCGGCGCCGCCGGTTGGCGGCCCGTGCCGGGCGGCAGCGGCGGGCGCCCGCCGCCGGGCGTGCCGCGCCGGCCGTCTGCCACATCCCCCGCGCCGGCCTCCTGCCCCTCCTCAACTGCAGCCAGCTCCGCTGCGGCGGCAGCGGCCTCCACCGGCCACGGCTCCAGCAGCTGCTCTATGCGTGCGGCCACGTGCGGGAAGTTGAGGATGAAGGGCAGGATGTGCTGGCCCTTGGCGGCGCTGCCACCCACGGTCGCCGCCACCGAGGAGCGGCCGTCGTACCTGCGGGCAGGGTGGAGGGGTGCTTGGCGTGGTTGGAGGGGTGCTTGGCGAGCTTCTGTGTGTGCATGTGTGCTGGCGGTGGGGTGTGCTTGTGGTAGTAGTGGGTGGGGGCATGTGGTGAGGGATGGAGTAGGAAGCCCCAGACGCAGGCGGCCATGTGCCGCCGGCGCGGCCCAGGCAGCCGCCCAGCCATCCAGCGAGGCGGCCGGCCTGGGCGAGAGGCATAGGCATGTGCCAGCCCCAAGCCACACACACACACACACACACACAAGCCTGCGCACCTCTGTATGGCGGTGCACCTGTCCGCAAAGTAGGCATCCAGCAGCGCCGCCAGCCGCGCCTCGCAGACGGCCAGCAGCTGCGCCAGCGGGGCGCAGGCAGGGCCGCGGGCCTCCAGGCGCCGCCGCCACGCCAGCGTCGCGCCCAGCATGGGCAGGCACAGCAGCAGGCGCTGCGGCTTGATGCCGTCTATCAGCCCCAGCAGCTCGCCCTGGATGCCAGACAGCAGCGAGGCGAGCGTAGACTGAACCTCGGGACCCGACACATCCGGCGGCGGCGGCGGCGGCTGCAGGGCGGCCCCTCCAGCCGCATCGCCCCCCGCAAAGCGCACAGACTTGGCGCCGGCAGCGGGGGGCGTGCCCCCGGCGGCGCCGGCGCTGCTGCCATCGCCTGGCACGGCCTTGGGGAAGATGAGCGCGATGCACTGGGCCGCCTCATCCGCCAGTACCGGCATGTGCAGGTCCAGCAGCAGCTGGTAGCCCTCGTGCAGCGGCGTGATGCCAGCCTGGCGGTACTGCGCGGCCAGGTCGGGCTGGGAGGAGGGGGAGCGGGGAGAGCCCTGGGACCTCCCTCCTGCGCGCTGGGAGCTGCAGGAGGGGAGGCAGGGGGGTGGGAGGGGAGCAGGGCAGCGCTGGGTGTTGGCACGTGCCAGGCCAGGAGCCTCCCCAGGCGGAGCGCCAGCGTGGCGCAGCGGGCCGCCCCGTGCAGGGTGACGCTAACAAGGCTTGGGCCCAGCGGCCCCTGGGCTGACCTGGCGTCTGAGGTGGCGGGCCGAGGTGGCCCCAGGAGGTCCGGCTCGCGCGCCCCGCCCGCATCCGCCGCCGCCGCCATGCGCCGCAGCTCCGCCGCCGCCGCGTGCACCTCCTTGCACGACAGCCCCGCCACAGCCTGGCAGTACGCCTCCCGGGGCGCCACGGTGGCGGCGGGGCGCAGCACCCCCACCACCTCCAGCAGCGGCGCCAGCTCGGCGGCCCGCCGCCGCACGCTGGCGTGCGGCACGGGGCGCAGCCGCGCCGCGCCCTGCTGCGCGTCCGCCGCCGCCGCCGCCGCGTCCGCCACCCGCGCCAGCTGCTCCTGCAGGAAGGCCGAGGCCTTGTCCACCAAGGCGCGCTGCAGGGCGTGCAGGCGCTGCCGCCCAGAGGACACAGCCGCCATGCTGGCGATGCCGTGGGGGACCCCGTGCTCGTCGCCGCCGCCGCCTGGCCCTGCCGCTGCTCCCGCAGTCGCCGCCGCTGCGCCGCTATCGCTCAGCGCCTGCAGCCGGCTGTGCAGCTCCCAGCCCGCCTCCACCATGTGCGCCATGCTGCGTGCAGGGCAAGGAAGGGTAGCATGGTTAGGCAGCAGCAGCGGTTGATTGGCAGGCACGCCACAGGCCGGCCAAGCCGCCCCAGCAAGCAGCAGCAGTGAGGTAAGCCTGCAGCCAGGCCGCAGCACAGCCAGCGGGGCTGCCAAGCGGAGCAGGCGCGGGGCGGCGGCGCGAGTGGGCGCACTTGGCGGGCGTGATGTCGCGGGCGTTGAGCGCGCGCTCTGCGCTGTCGGGCAGGCTCAGCCGCTCCACCAGCCCCTCCAGCGCCTCCACCAGCTTCAGGTTGTTGCGCGAGTGGCGCTCCAGCTGGTTGTTGCGGTCCTCGATGGCTGGAGGAGGGGACGGGTGGGAGGCGGCAGGTGGGGGGCGGGATGGGGACGGGGGTGGGGCATGCAGCGCTGCGAGCGGCAGCCACCAGCCCCGCTAAGCCCGCCCGGCCAGGCACCCATCCCCAGCCCGCCGCCCCCGCCGCTGCCGGCGCAAGCAGGGGCAGCCCCTGCCAGCCGCAGCGCCCCGCGCCCCAGCCTCCCGCGCGGCCGCGGCGGCGCGCCCACCCCAGCCCAGCCCACCCCACCCCACCCGCGATGTCCTCCCGCATGTGTCGCAGCTTGGCGTCGTAGATGTCCAGGTTCTCTCCCAGGTCTTCCAGCAGGCCCACCGCGGCGCCCAGCCCGGCCAGCACGCGCGCCACCGCGCCGCCGTTCTCCAGCATCTCGTGCACGCTGGCGTCCTCCAGCGCCGCCAGCTCAGCCTCCAGCCGCTCCTGCAGCTCCTCCATGCCGGCAGCCCCCACAGACACCATCTCCAGAAGGGACTGCAGGGGGAGGGGGAGGGTGTGGTGGCGGCAGGTGTGTGTGTGTGTGAAAGTGAGTGAGGTGGTGGCGGTGGTGGGGTGGGCGAAAGGCAGGCGAGCAGGCAGGCAGGCAGGCAGGCACACCGCCAGGTACCGGGGGAGACGAGCAGGCAGGCAGGCTGCAAGCCAGCCCCCTCCTCCTACCCCCACCTGGATCTGCGTGTCCTCCCGCTGGCCCCACAGCGGGTGCACGCCGTCGCCGCCGCCGCCATCGCCGTCGCCCTCGCCGCCCGCCGTGGCCGCCGCGGGCGCCGCCGCCGCCGCCGGCTCCCCACGCACGCCTTCCTTGAGCAGCGCCCGTGCCGTCTGGCCCACCGCCGCCTCCGAAGCCTGCCGGCTGTTGTACTCTGCGGCCGAGCTTTCCAGCTCGGACACCTCGATGCCAACCACCTGCGGCGCCCGCTTCTCGTGAGCCCTGCAGCGACCCGTCGGCACGGCGCGGCAGCCGCGGGGGCAGTCAGCCACGGTGCGGGGCAGGGCAGGGCTGCTGCATTGGACTACTTTGGACTGGTTTGGCTATGGGCGAGGGAGGCAGAAGGCGAGCAGGCAGGAGGGGAGCAGGCAGGCTGCCACCAGGGCGACAGGCCCGTGCAAGCCCCGCATGCTGGTGCCATGCGGACAACCCTCCCCAAGCTGCGCTGCCTCATGCTGCGACCCCACCTTCTCCAAGCACCCCACCCCACGCCCCTGCTTGCCTGCAGAAGGTGTACAGCGTGCCCAGCAGCTCCAGCCGCACCAGAGCACCGCGCACCTCAAACGCCAGCCGCACCTCGCCAGACGTGAAGCCGCGCTGCGTGGAGGAGGAGGGGTATACGGGGACGTGTGTGTGTGTGTGCATGCGTGCATGTGTGCATGTGTGATCGGGCAGGCAGGTTGCAAGACAAGATGGCAGGCCACGCAGGATGTGCAGCTGCGGATACAGCCACAGCCCGCTTGTGGCGGGGAGGCAGCACGGGCGCAGACCTCCCACGCTCATGCCTCTCACCCCCCACCGCCACCCCCCACCTGCACAAAGGTCAGCTCCAGGTACTCCTGCTGCCCGGGAGAGTCCACAAACGCCTCCATCTTGGTCAGCAGCTTCAGCTTCACGCTCTTGCGCACCTGCACGCACGCCGCGGCAGCGAGGCACACACCCGCGCTCAATGCCAACGCCCAGCGCAAGTCAAAACAGCGGCCACATGGAGGGCAGACGGCGGCGGCGATGCTGCCTGGCCATGGGTGATGTTACCATCATCACAAGTCGATGCGATGCGTGTGGCCCTGAATTTGCGCTGTCTGCGGGCCGACAGGGCAGGCAGCGGGAGTAGTCGCATGTTGGGCGCGGCCTGGCTGGCTTGCCTGGTACCGCCCCTGCGCCAGCTTGAGGATGTGCAGCGTGCCCTTGAACCCCCGCTTCTTGCTGCGCCGCTTGGCGGTCAGGCAGATGATGCGCGACTTGCCTGTGGACTGCAGCGCAGGCAGGCAGGCAGGCGGGCAAGCGTGAGCGGCGCCGGCAGCGGCAGCAGGAGCGGCAGACACTGCTCTGGTGGGCGGAAGGGTACCTTGGGCAGGGGCCGGCGCCCCCGTGAACCCGATGCCGCCGGATCGCATTTGGCCGCCTGCAGCAGGCAGCCAGCGGGCATGGGATCAGGTCAGAAGCTGCCCCCACAACTGGATGCAGGGCTCTCTGAAGCCTCTGCCGCCACTGGCGGTGGCTGCCGCCGCCGCTCACCACAAAGGCCGCCAGCACCCGCTGCTCGCTGTTCTCGAACAGCTGCTCCAGGTCCTTGAGCAGACCGCTGCCGCTCATCCTGAAGCCCTCTCCCAGCGAGGCCTGCTGCGAAGGCAGGCGAATGCGATCAGGCGAGCTAGCGCGCTGAGCGGGGCTCCATGGCGGCTGTCGCGAGTGATCACATGCCCTCTGGAATGTCTTCAGGGTCTCTCATGAGCCGCGAGCCATGCAGTGACACCTGGCCGCCTAGGTGGCACTCCCGTCCATATAGCGCTCCGATCGACGGATCCTTCATCACACAGCCATCTATGCCCGCCGCAGATCAGAACAGCGCCGCCGCCGCCGGCACGGAGCAGCAGCAGCGCTCACCACTCGCCGAGCAGGCCGCAGAGCTGCTGCACAAGCGGTGCAAGGTGAGGGCGCACCCTCAGCAAGCCAGCCAGCCATGCCCCCCACACAGCGCCACACATGTGTGCATGCTGCCGCCGTCACGCCTCCCGCCGGGCTGCGCCCCAGCCGCCTCGCCTCGCGCGCCCGCCTGTTGTGCAGATACAGGTCAAGGATGGGCGGGTGCTGGTTGGCGACTTCACTTGCCTGGACAAGGAGGGGAACATCATCCTCACCAACACTTATGAACACATGCAGCTGGGCGGCCAGTGAGTTTGCCGTGGGCTCACGCTGTGACGTGACGCCACAGCTGGAGCGGGTCGCTGCCTGGGCGACGGCTAGCAACCTGCCATGCATCCTGCACACTCCGCTTGCAAGACTCGCACACCCGGTGTCTTCTGCAGGCTGCACGAGAAGGTGATGGGGCAGGTGCTGGTGCCCGCCGCCCACCGCGTGTCGTGCGAGTTCCAGGCGCTGCCGCATGACCAGGCGCTGCGAGGGCTGCTGCTGCAACAGCAGGAGACCTGAGCTGCCAGCAGCACAGGCAGCGGCGGTGCCAACGCACAAAATAAGGAGAGGGGACAGTTACAACAGAGCGTAGCACGACAGGCATTAGACAGAAGACAGCATGAGCGGGCGAGCGACCAGGTAGGCAAGCAGAAGGACCCAGAAGAACCCAGAAGGCAAGCAGGGGGACGTGCAGCTTGCTCCATTGCCGCTGTTTCATTCCAGCACTCGAGTGAGCTCAACTCATCACAGCCACTGTTACAGTTTACTACACAGAGTTAACTACACAACTACACAACCCGTACCAAAATGGGAGGGAAGAACAACGCTGTCACAGAGGCAGTACTCTGATGGGCTTGGTGTGTGCTTGGAGCAGGCCCGCAGTCCGGGGGCTGGCAGGCCGCCGCTGCCAGTTGCCCCACAGCACCAGCATGCCCACTGCCGACAGCATGATGGTGATTTGAGCGTAGAGCAGCCAGGGCTGCAGCTTGGAGCGACCAGCGGCAGCGGGAGCAGCGACATGCGGGTCTGCTGGCTGCGACGCTGGGACAGACGCATGGGCAGGCTGCCCCTGCTCCTCGCTCCGCGCCTCCTGCTGCTGGCTCTCCTGCTGCGGCTGGCTGTCTTGCGCCTGCTTGCTTTCCAACTGGCGCTGATCCACCTTTGCCTCAGCCTGGCCTTGCTGCTGCTGCTGCTTGTGCCGCTGGCGGCGGCTTTCTTGCTTGGGCACAAACCCCACCACCTCAATCGGCCTGTACCCAAAGCCCAGCGCCGCCAGCTCTGCAAGCAATAAGGTTGCAGCCAGTGAGCGACAGGCTACAGGTCGGAACGTTTTGCAGCCGCCCGTCAGCCATTCCCCAAGCTACCCTGCCATCATCCAGCCCTCCATGCCGGGCCACTCACCTGAGGGGTAGTAGTTGAACTGGGCGTCGCGGCGAGCCTCCTCCTCTCGCGCATCATACGGTGCCACCTTGGCCAGCGCCGCATAGATCGAGTCCTGCACAGTCAGCAAGATGACCGCACACATGCGCCAGTGCCGGTTGCCTAACAAAATGGGGGTTTGGCCTTTGTGCTGGGTTGCATGACAGCAGGGGCAAGGGCAGGCAGCCCAGAGCAGCATGACAACGACAGCGGTAGCAGTGCCAGCCACCCCACCCACCTCCCCCTGCTTCTGCTGCGCCTGGTGCGGGTGCAGCATGCACACGTCGTCAATCACCGCCACGCGATCGCGCGGGAACTGCAGCAGGAAGGGCCTGCACACAGGGGACAGGGGTGGGCAGGCACAGGGCAGGGGCCCCTGGATCAGGCCGTGGGCAGCCGAGAAGGGGGGGCTTCCTTCTTGTCAGCCGCATCAGGAGGCAACGCTTGCATGCGTGCTGCTCTTGCAGCGGCGGCTGCTCACCACACGAAGTCCAGGCCCCAGCCCGTGTACGCATCGTGCAGCGAGGGGCGCACAAACCCGTCGAAGAAGCGCATCTCAAACATGGGAGCCTGCGGCAGCGGGGCAGGAGGGACGGAGGACAGGGTGGCGCATCTCAAACGTCTCCAGCAGGCTTTGCAGGGCAAGGTGGGGCTGCCAGCCCTCATGTGCATCTGGGGTCTAACCCAGCGCCGCCCAGCACTGGGCAGAGCTCTGCTAAATTTCCCACCGACCAGTGCTACATTAGTGCTGCCCAGCACCCGCGGGCAGTGCTGGGAAGCGCTGGCGCTGGGCAGCGCTGGTCACCGCCGCCGCTCCAGCGCTG